GTCATATAGTAATTTTATTCCTATATTTTTAAGGAATCTCCATACTGTTCTCCATATCAATTTGTATTCCCACCCACAGTACAAGAGGCTTCCCTTTTCTCCACACCCTCTCCAGCATTTATTGTTTGTATATTTTGTTGATGGTGGCCATTCTAACCAGCATAAGCATTCAATTTCAAGAAGTAATGGATTCAAAAATTATGTGGCTAGTGAGTGATAGGCCTGAAATTGAACCCAGGTAGTCTGACTTTAGCGTTTGTGCTCCAGCGCATTAACTTGTCTCCAAAATAGGCTTTCTTTCTGATAACTGTAATAGTAGGTAATGAGTTGTCAAAGTGAATGGAGCAAATGTTAATAAGCACCATCTCTCTTTCTCATATGAGGTGGTTATTTCTCCCTTTATATGGACCAGAACCTAGATATTTCCTCATTGGGATCCCCTCTCAAAAGCAGCCTGCTTCATGTGAAAGTAACTCAGTGGTTTGGTGAACACCTTTCCATAGATGTCTTTATCCAGATTTACAAATAAATGATATACGTATTTGTGATTTCAAATGGGATCCTACTAGATTCCATCATACATGAATCCAGTCTTTCTTTCTCTGTGCTATGTGCAATACCATTGCTTAAAAGACTTTTTTTTACCAGAAGTGTGTGTGTGGAGGTGACCATGGAGAAGATCAGGCTGAACTCTGTTCAAGGTACAATTAATTAATATTATAAAATACCTAATAATAACTTGGCTTTAGCATTAATACTTGATCTATTTCTTGGCATCAGACAAGTTCTTAGTTTTCTTGTCTTTCATGAACAAACACAGTTGATTGTCATAAAGCTTCTACTGAGGCCAAACAGTTTTCATCTTTATTTCATTTTGCCAAACAGTTTTCATCTTTATTTCATTTTGGCATACTTAATTATGGCTTTTGCTGTATCAGTGGTGTTATATTTGGAACTTATGCTTCTGGCCACCTCCTGCAATTTAGTTTTTCATTTTCCCATTTGTTTTTAATACATTCATGTAATCACTCAATTCCACAACTCTACCAAGCCTGCTGCCTAATCTGAACTACTGATGGGCAGACACTGCCCTCTGTGGACAGCTCAAAACACTGTCAGTTGATGAAGAAAGGAGTGCATTTATTTGTTCTAAAGGTAGTTGTTTTTTTGCCCCCATTTATAGCAACAGGGATGGACCTAGAGATTATCATACTCAGTGAAGTCAGTCAAAGACATATACCATATGATATCACTTATATGTGGAATTTAAAAAAATGATATAAATGAACTTAGTTACAAAACAGAAATAGACTCAAGACATAGAAAACAAACTTAGGGCTGCCAAAGAGGAGAGGGAGGGGGAATAAACTAGGAGTTTAGGATTAGCAGATACACCAACAAGGACCTACTGTATAGCACAGGGAGCTATACTCACTATTTTGTAATAACCTGTAAGAGAAAAGAATCTGAAAAAGATTTATATATATATATAGTATGTATACATAAAACAATCACTTTATACACCTGAAACTAGCACAACATTGTGAATCAACTATGCTTCAATAAAAAAAAAAATAAAAGTAGTTTGTAGGCATCAGTGACTAACATACAAAATAAAAGTTGAATGAAGTTTAGGGACTATTGTTGAATGGGACATGGATGAAAATTACCTTAGCATAAGCATATTTGAGTGTACACAAGGAAAACGAACACAGAAATAAAAAATGGTTACAGATGCCCATGAGAGGAGGTATACAGTGTTCTAAATTGTGGCTTGAGGTCCAGCTGCTTGGGTACTGCTTTTGAACCCATTAGAAATGCAGAATCCCAGGTCCCACCCCAAACTCTCATATCGGAGTCTGCATTTAACAGGGACTTGGGATGACTCATCCACATGGTGAAGCATGAGAACCTCTGGTGTACAGCGTAGCAGATGTTTGGTCCATGGATTTGAGATGTAGGTAGAATTGAGTTGGATTCCCAGCTCTGCCACTTATTACCTGTGTGAACTTAAGCAGGTGACATTTCTGTGCCTCCGTTTCCTTATCTGTAAATAGGAAGTATAACCAGTACATCCCTCACAGGATTATTGTCAGGCAACCGTCACCAGCAACATCACCACCATCATCACTAAGGATTAATGAGGGCTCACCCTACCCTAGGTGCTGTTACTAACACTTGTTACTAATTTGTGAATGGGATGGGGGAAGGCTGCTTGCCTGGCAAAGGGTAAGTCTCATCAAATCTTAAAACCTGATGGGTTGTGATTGTTATGATCAGTCTAAAGCATGGTCTTTAGCAAGTGGGATAGAATGGCATTCCTCAGCTGAAGAACTGAAGGTTGTGGATTTGGGGAGTGGAGGTGGGTGCTGGCCCTGCTAGGGTGTTCAGGACCAAACTCTGAACATCTGACCCCAGCTTTTCATTAGTGATGTAAAAAGGATTATTTGGGGTAAAATTTTCTGTTTTTGTTCAGTCACTGAGTCATGTCCAACTCTTTGCAACCCATGGACTGCAGCATGTCAGGCTCCCCTTAATACACTATCTCTTAGAGTTTGCTGAAACTCATGTCCATCGAGTCGGTGATGCCATCCAACCACCTCATCCTCTGTCGTCCCCTTCTCCTCCTGCCTTCAATCTTTCCCAGCATTAGGGTCTTTTCCAGTGAGTTGGCTCTTCGCATCAGGTGGCCGAAGCATTGGAATTTCAGCTTCAGCATCAGTCCTTCTAATGAACATTCTGGACTGATTTCCTTTAGGATTGACGGGTTTGATCTCCTTGCTGTCCAGGGGACTCTCAAGAATCTTCTCTAACTCCACAATTTAAAAGCATCAATTCATTGGTGCTCTGCCTTCTTTATGGTTCAACTCTCACATTCTTAATGACTCAGTTTTCTGAGTATTTGCTTAATCTAGGAAGCAGCAGGAGAACTGGTGTTTAAAACAGTGGTTCTCAGATTTTTTGGTCTGAGAGGACCTCTTTATCCTTTAAAAATTATTGAGAACACCATAGAGCTTTTTGTTTATGTGATTATATCTATTGATATTGACCTTATTAGAAACTAAAGCTGAGAAAATTTTATTTATTTTTTTTTTTGAGAAAATATTTTTTTGAGGGGACTTCCTTGGTGATCCAATGGTTAAGACTCTGTGCTTCCACAGGGGCACCGTTTTGATACCTGGGTAGAGCAAAAAAATTTTGTCTTTTTTTTAGTGATTTATTTTTTTGTTTTATTTTATTATTATTATTATTGTACATTTCAGTGCTCTCTCTCATTCATCCATTTCTGTTTCTTGTAAATTGCCTAGTTAGGGAAGTTCCTACCTAAACTTCTTGATTTTGATAGCATTCCATGTAAGAAAATTTTAAAATATCAATTCATGAGAAGACAGCTTGGTCGTTTGTCATTGCTGACCCTGCTACGCGCCTCTGGGTTCCTCTACCTCATCGTCCATGTGGCCCTAATGGTGCGTCAGGCTGTGAATTCCTAGAGTGCTGGAGTGAATTTAAGAAGATTTTGTCCACGTGTATGGCATAGAAGATGAATTTGTCCTCCTCCACCATGAATGAGGAACCTGATGCTCTCTCTGTAGTTAACCAGCTCCGAGACCTAGCCGCAGATCCTTTAAACCGACGAGCCATTATCCAGGATCAGGGATGTCTGCCTGGCCTTATTTTATTTATGGACCATCCCAAGCCCCCTGTCGTCCACTCAGCTTTGCTCGCTCTTCGATACTTGGCAGAGTGCCGTGCCAACAGAGAAAAGATGAAAGGAGAGCTGGGAATGATGTTAAGCTTGCAAAATGTTATACAGAAGTCTACAACTCCAGGGGAAACAAAACTGCTAGCCTCTGAAATCTATGACATTCTTCAATCTTCCAATATGGCAGATGGGGATAGTTTCAGTGAAATGAATTCACGTCGAAGGAAAGCTCAGTTTTTCCTGGGAACTACAAACAAACGTGCCAAAACAGTGGTTTTGCATATAGATGGTCTTGATGATACGTCCCGGAGAAACCTGTGTGAAGAGGCCTTGTTAAAAATTAAAGGTGTTATTAGCTTTACTTTTCAAATGGCCGTTCAGAGATGTGTGGTATGAATCCGTTCAGACCTTAAAGCAGAGGCGTTGGCATCAGCAATAGCATCAACCAAGGTTATGAAGGCTCAGCAGGTTGTGAAGAGCGAGAGTGGAGAAGAGATGCTGGTCCCATTCCAGGACACGCCTGTGGAGGTAGAACAGAACACGGAGCTGCCTGACTGCCTGCCCGAGGATGAGAGTCCCACGAAGGAGCAGGACAAGGCGGTGTCCCGGGTGGGCTCCCACCCGGAGGGTGGAGCTAGCTGGCTGAGCACAGCTGCAAACTTTTTATCCAGGTCATTCTACTGGTGACTTCCCTTTGGGGCTCAAGG